ATTTTTGAGAAATCTGTTCAGGTCACAAGTTCTTTTCACATTCATGACCAGAGGGGTATTTCATTGTTTCTGATTTCCTTCTGCAAGATCTGGCTGGGTTATTTTATGAACTTTAGGCTGGTTCTAATCTTCATAGAGTAATTCCTACACCTCTGACAGATGAATCTGGACAATTAGGCTACCTCATTTTCTTTTATTTAATTAACCGTTTTTGTGTGCAGCAGAGTGGACTCAGATACCTGTTCCTCTCCTGGGTTGCTCGGCAGTTAGAGCCAGCCGAATGCCTCCCAGCTGTCATCTCAAAAAGAACGTTTCTCTCTTTTTCTTGTCTTCCAAACTTGTGAAACTGCATTATTTTATTTTATTTTATTTTTGCAAGAAGTTTGTGCTTTTTTAACCGGCACAGATGGGGAGCTATAGATGGAAGCGAAGATTTGCGAAGGATCACGTGCTGTGATTTTTTTTTTTTTTTCAGAGGACACTGCGCTTCGGCAAATATTTGCCAAGCTCGTGCGCATTTGCTGAGAAAACCCGTTGGTTTGATCAGAAACGTTACCTGCGTGCAAAGATATAAAGTGTTGTTACCGTCTGACACAGTGGAGAGGAGGGAAGACCTCCTCGAGGACACCACTGGTGAGAATGCACAGAGCAGAGCTGGAAGGGTCTGCAGTCTGGGCCCTCGGCTCACAGATGGAGGTCATTTCCATAAAGACAGACTGCGCCGCGTGGAGAGAAAGTGAGCAGGAAGCGACCGGATGCAGAGCTAAAGGAGAGTTCTCGAACATTTCTCTGCATCCTCGCAGCGTTGTCAGGGTTTTCTTCAAGTTTTATTTTTATGTTCTTTTACTTCAGCTCCATATCTGCCCAGCTGCGTGTTACTTAAACCTCACACATCCCACACGTTACAATAAAAATAAAGACACTACGGTTTTTTTATATAATGGTTTCCTAATCAGGTGTTAGCTTTCTCCAAACAAAGTTGAGATTATATGAAATAACAGGATACTGTGCCAGGAAGATGCTATTGATTATTGTTGTCAGGATCTTTTAACGCACGCTGGATGGATTTATGAAATGATTTTAATGTTTTATCTCTGAAGTATCGACACAAAGGAATAATGGACCTACATGACTACAAAAAAATCTTTAAACAAACGTTGCTTTAGTGGAAGTGCAGTTTTTCAGTCTAGATTTTACGTTTATTTGAGCAGAACATTTCAAAATGTAAATGAAATAGAGTTCCTGGAAATAAAATGTCGTCGCAGCATAATTATCATATTTTATTGTTAGCACTAACTGTGTGTCTTATAGTGTGGCACCGTCATCGTCATTATTACATGGTACTCTGGCTGTATGGGACCCTGAAGGCCCGAGTGTGTGTTTGTGTCACAGCATTGCGTCAAGCAGTCTCTAAGCCTTCCGTTTGACCAGTGTGTAACATTACCGAGCGTTCCCAATGATCAGATCAAAGGTGATCCACTTCCTCGCTGCGTCTTTTATGGCCTGCTCCAGGCTGCTGCCAGTGATGTCAGAACCCCGTGTCTCTGAGTGGTCAGTGCTCAGTGAGCCTCAAGGTGAGGGGGAATGATGTAAGGGCTCTTTGATTATGCAGAGTGTTGTTAGGATGTGTGTACCTATGAACACTGGAAAGTACTACGTGTACGACTGTATAAATGTAAATAACACAGCCTGAACGAAGGTGTTTACAAGACTTAAGAACTATGGGAGCTGCTCTTCTCACAGGAGAGTCCAGCTAACTGTTGGCAGGCTTTATTTTGAGCCCTGGCTCATTCAGAAAATGGCAGCCCACTTGACTTGTCTGAGTAACATTCAGCCACTGCTGCGTGTCTCAGTGCTAAATATTACATTACATTTTTAGATTTACATTCTATACTAGGTTGGTCTGTTGGAGCATGAAAAACATTCTATAGATGTGGATAGATTTTTAAAAACACAAAAACATCTTTGTTAGAGAAGGAATAATACTGTTGAAAGTTGAAACACTTTACATTAAAATGAATAAATCACAGGTAGGAGTTCCAGAAGCAACAAGTGGACTCAGTCTTGCACCACTAAAAAAAAAAAGTCAAACAAAAATCAATTTTCTGTCCAAGAGAAAAATTGGATCAAAATTCCAACTTATTACGCTCAGTCAGATCCATAAATCTCTTTAAGAAATTCTTGTTTGGTGACTTTTATTGTGAAATTCCTAAAAGACAAAATGGCTTTCACAATTTCTGAAATGAAGTTTTGATTCATCTAGTTTAATCACATTTTAACTTTTTGTTTCAATGTACAGGGTTCCTACAGTTTAAGGCAAGTTAAATTTAAGACCTTTTAAGACTTTTTAATGCCAAGTGAAATTAAATTAAAGACCCATTTCACAATAAACACAAATGACAAAAATAAAAATAAAAACTGGCAGAAATTCGTAAATCAAAGTATTTTTGGTTGAAGTATTCAAATATTGCTAATAGACCAATTGTTTTTATCCATATCTAACTATAACAGAAACATTCTTAGCCGTCAGTTTTAAACTTAATTTAATTTCAGGAAATCTTGTGACGACCCAAAATTTGGAGTTTTAGGACCCACAGTGGYGTCTTAACCCCAGCTTGCTGTAGATGAAACCTTAAATTGCCCATGACATCAGTTTTTTGTAAGAAAAGTGAATGTATTTTTGGATAGACAACATTATTAACATATCAGAAAGCAAATTTCACATTGCTCAGATGGACAGTTGTTGAGATATTTGCAAGTGAAGTCACAGGAAGTGATGTCAAAGGGGAATGTCAGCATGTGAAGATTAAAAAACTATTTTTTTTACCAATTATTTTAATATTTGGGATGAATTAGAATCATCCTATTTACAATGTGCTAACATTTTTAAGACTTCTGAAAGACTGATGTAAGACATTTTAAGGCTAATTAAGGCCTTATTTTTGGATTGATGAATTCAGTGCCTGTTAAGACTTTTTAAGGATCTGCAGGAACCCTGATTTAGCAATTTTTTTATTCCCTTTCAGCTTGATCA